TCCATGTCAGCCCTCACCAGCCAAGGGGAGCCCAGTCGGAAAAATCCACAAGGTTGGCCTCGCGCTCTCCGGATGCGAATAACTGTCATAATATCTGTCAATAACGATTCATGAAAAGAGCATGACCGCTTGAAAATTTGTCCCGCGCTCTTTGGAAAATCCTTAATCCGCAAACAAATCTCAGAGGATGATGCAGTGTATATGGACAACGTTGTTACTCACTTTAAAGGTAAGACTATTTACTAATAACACAGATAATAGAATTGTCAGTATAATAGTAAACAACAATATTATTAATATTATTATTAGTCTATTAATGTTATAAACACCAAGTACAAACAATCCGAACCGTTGAACAAAATACATAAAATCGATTTATGCATTAGTCTAACGGATCGGATCGTTTGTAAATTTGTACTGGTAATTATCATGAATCGACACGACGATCTGAGAATAGCACGTGATTTGACAATCGTAATTACGTTACACTTACAGTAGCGGGAATAACCGAGTAGCTACGATTGGTGACTTGATAGAGGCTGGAAACGTCATACTCACTGATCTATTAAGAGATAGATCAGTGGTCATACTAGACTAGACTAGTCTTGATCATTCAGACTCTTTACTGTTTATGTTCTGTAAAGTAAAGAATCTGGGTGATCGAGACTAGGGTGCAGGCTGTTTCGTAACCTGGCTGTTTCGTACTTAGTTCTTTCGTACCTCAGATTGATTCGTAACCTTTTCCTACGTGTTGTTGAAATAAAGTTGAAACATGATTCGTACCTTTTTCTACGTGTTGTTGAAATAAAGTTTGAACATGATTCGTATCTCAGATTTATTCATATCTTTTCCTACGTGTTGTTGAAATAATGTTGAAACACGACGACTTAATAATATCCAACCACTACTACAAAAATTTTATAAAAATGGCTGCAACGCGAACTTTATAAAACAAAGATGGCTGCTTGTTGCGCGAATTTTATAAAAATTGCTGCTGAACCAGAATTAGAACCCCAAATAGCTTTGTACTTTTTTAAATATGTTGAAAGAAATTTAAAAATATAAGTTGGCAAAAAAAACCAATCATGGACCTTGTTGTATTATAAGGTCCATGACCCAACACACACTGCGATCTGCCTTTGTTGTTTATAATCTGGTGTTGATTACTGAACTCATTAAGCGAGTGAGTAGTGATTCTTATTCTTGACGATAATTGATTGGCGATTGTTAAAACGGTTAAAAAGAGATTGAAAAATATTTAATCTGGTGTTGATTATTGAGTCCATTCAGCTGGGTGACTTGTGATTATTGACTATGAGTTGTGATTTTTGTCAATATTGACCGGCGATTGTTAACTTCAAAGGGTCAGGCGGCGCAAGCAGTTATTGCCAATCCTCCATTTTACCTGCTCTATTGCTGCATAAAGAAGCATCGATATTGCCGTTACAGATAAAGCTTGTGTCAGAGGGGAAGTTAAAAAGATATCAACGTATTGACACTCTAGACCAGGATCGTATTTTTAGCCTGCGGGGGGGGGGGGGAATACGCACAGAACCAGATATCAGCCAGCTCCCTGTTAAGAAGATGCGCGTTTGTTTACGGCCCAACTGCCGCTAGTGTTGCACAATGGCGGTTCCAAGCCCGGGTGCAAAAGGAGGAGGGTTAAGCTTAAGTACATTGTAAAAGTTTAAATTAACGAAGGTACGAAACAGCTCATGTGAGGAAGCTTAAGTTTAAGTACGTGTAAAACTTGAAATTTCCGAAGGTACGAAATGTCATCTTTGGACACAAAATTACATTTTTCATCAACAATCATGATGTTGAATTGTGTTTCTGACTCTGCACCTCCATACTTATTTTGACTCATTTTTTTGGCCAAATACAGCATCTTGGAATTCTCCTCAGAATCATCATTAAAATCTCGAAGCTGGATAAACTTTTCTTATTGTCAATGATGTATTCTTGCAAACCACATTTGTTTATCCGATGTTACGTTATCAGGCGTTCAACACCAAACCTCGTAAGATAAGTCATTTTTAAAAAGTTTTATTTCATTATACTTTATCAAGGTATGATAATTTTTGAAGTTGTTTTTCTATTGAAATTGTTTTTCCATCAAATATCTGTATCTGAACATTAATTATATGTATATTTAAAACTTAAGTTCACATCATTTTCTGTAGTTCACATCATTTTCTGTAGTTGAATGCACAAATAAGATCCAATAAACAGATAAACTAAATCAGTTTTGTTATTTCACAGAAAAATGAGAATAATTTCTGGCAGTTATAAAAATTATGTTTTTCGACATAACTGGAAGAAAAAATTCCGGCAGCTGATTTACCAGAATTTCCATTTGTCGTAAAATATTTCTGTTATTCAAAGCAAATATTTTACGAGAAATTCTGTTATATAACTGAAGGCAACATTTTAATTCTGGTAAATCAGCTGCTGGAAATTTTCTGTTAATTAATGGAAATTTTTTTTAAAATTCCGGCAGCTGATTTACCAGAATTTCCATTCTATTTTCTGTTAATAGAAGGAAATATTGTTGAGTCATTCTGTAATTTAACAGATTTTGTCGTAAAATATTTCTGTTATTCAAAGCAAATATTTTACGAGAAATTCTGTTATATAACTGAAGGCAACATTTTAATTCTGGTAAATCAGCTGCCGGAAATTTTCTGTTAATTAATGGAAATTTTTTTTACAGTGTAGTTAGGCAGCTTGGTAAGTTGATGATAACAGACACTCGGTAAGTTGATATAAATGTTCTGGACAAAAGCAACATTTGTTTTTAAATGCTATCCAGTACCTTAGGTTTCCATTATTATTAGATACCTCTCCCTCCATATATATTATGATAGCACACTACAGGTGCAGAACAGTAAAACATTAAACCCCATTTCATTTCATCTAGCCTGTCGGGGGTTTTATTTAATCGTTTAGATTACAGCTTTTATTTTGTTGATGATCCATTGTTTAGAGTATATGGAAATAACAGATGGGTAGTGACCTAATTCTGTGAGTTAAAAGTTCAGATCATGTTTACCTTATATTGCTTATCATCGTATCATTATGTCAGCGTTTTACATTTAGATAAGAAATATCTTCAAAACTATAGGTACATAATAGACTGAATTAAATACTAATAAACAACACACGATAATTCTATATCTAAAAAGATTGGGGGTGGGGGAGTGGTTATATACTGAATTAAATACACAACACAGGGGTGTTACACATCTACTGAATTAAATACTAATACACAACACAGGAGTGTTACACATCTACTGAATTAAATACTAAATAAAAGATAAACGCATATTGTTTATTGCTCATTTGATACCGCTAAAATATTTCACAAGGGGTAGCTACTGTTATACTCATTCGAGGCCACTTTTTGATCAATCTGAATCCAAGAAATTTCTATTTTAGTCTACAATAAATAACAGGAATACTGTACCACATCTAAACATAAGCCCCGGTTACAAAATAAAACGGTGTTCATTTCAGAGCTTGAACTTTCCGCAATATTGTCAAAAGAGAAAATCATGGGAGTTTAAGGGCCTACTGTTCTGCTCCCACTGGACTCATGAAGACGGGCAAATGACATACAGTGTAATATGAGGGAAATTATGTCCGGGCAGCGGCGCTACGGGCTACTCTTATATCCAATTCCAACTGTCAAGGGATCTTTTACGTGCACGCCAATGTGTACACGGGACCTCGTTAACCATTCGCCCCCCCCCCCAACACACACACACACCGCTTACTTACCAAGGCACACTAGGAGGTCCACCCCTTAGCAGACAGTCCCCACCTCTCTCTCTCCTATTCTGCATCTGGGTCCGGTTGCGGGGGGGGGGGGTCTGTATCACCACGCTATAGGAGAAGCTTTAAATTCTGCGGTACTGCATTCATGTGAGACGATTAGGCGTTTGCAGGGATTTTCCGAGATGGGGAAGTGGGTGGTTAAGTCTGATGCTTTAAATTCTGTTTTCATGCTGATATGGCTCTGTATATCTCTAAATAAGTGTACAGCATGCCCTTGGACAACTGTTTTCATTTTTTAGGGACAAGGGCGGGATGACAATGTGTTAAAATGGTTGGAAATTTGATAATCATCTTATAGATTTGTAAAACATTAATTTACAGCAATGGGTGTTAGGTGCAAATAGACAAATGTTTTGATTTTCTAAGGTAAGGGGTTAGGGTTATGTGTGCGGGTATGCGTGAGCGTATCATAATGTCAATCCCGTAATGACCTGATTTCTATTAAAACATGACCAACACTGAAACAGGCATTGTATGACTATTCACAGGACATTGTTATTGGACAGAGGACCCTACTCGTTGTCACATACAAGCTGGGAATCGAAACCACGCTAGTTCATTCATTGACAGACCTTATAGTCTAAGCGCATGCGTTATCCTTATGGTCTAAGCGCATGCGTTAAAGTATCCTGCCAAGCAATAACCCAGATTTACCATTGAAGTCAATGGGGAGAGACTGGATTACTCCCGTGTCCTTCTGTGACCATTCGCCCCCGTATCTCGTCAAGATAAGGATTGTCCAGATAAAATAGGTCATGAACTTATTCCTCTCAAACTGGACCATGATAAAACTTGTGCGTGATAATTTTGTTCTATTATTTTACGGAGATAACATATATAAATATGAACCAGACATTGGTCAGATTGATAGTCGGTCGTCATCAAGACAAGACAACATGATTAGGTTCCTGGCTTTCGTGCTGGCGGTTGTCCGTTTGACCGGGATACAGGGAGCAAAGCTTACACAAATAGGACAGTTTGCAGTTCCTCATGCTGCGTTTGTAACAGTTGTAGAAGATCCACATGCGAGTTCCGTGAAGGATAAATATCATTTATTTATTTCAAGTTTTAACGGCGTCCCTTTCAGTACAGATTATGTGTATGAAGTGACCAAAATCGGGAGGAAACTGGGTAACATCGGAGCTACCAAAACCATCACAGCAACTTCATCTGTTACCTGGCCAAATGAAGTAGGCGTTGTACCACGTAAGTTCGATGTCACCCTACTCCGTTAAACTGGCTAATCGTATCAAACCAAGAGTCGGGATTGGAGAGAGGTTAAACTGGATAGTCGTATCAAGCCAAGAGTCGCGATCGAAGAGGTTAAACTGACTACATAGTGGGGACGGGGTCAAAGGGGTTAATCTGGCTACATAGTCGTATCAAACCAAGAAGTGGGATCGAAGAGATTACACACAACCCATATGTGTTCAGGGCAAAAATTAACCATTTCTGATCCCGATGTCGGTTGGGAAATCGCCTAAGGATTTTTTAACCCTGTTTCCCCTTGTCAGTGGTGCAGGGTGGAGCATCTAGGGCGTTAAACCCAATTTTATTTCTCCATTAGAACGTCAGCCAGCAATGAAGGAATAAATCAGTTGTGCAGGATGGAGGATCTAACATGTAGTGTCAGAGATCCCGCGTTCCGAGATAAAGATTGTACAATTTCAATATTTGTTTTGTAAATATACAATAAAACACATCCTCGTCTTCTTTATCTGCTTCTTCTATATTTGTTTATTATAGAAAGTGTATTTATTATTGTAGAAAGTGTATTTAGTATAATAGAAAGTGTATTTATTATTATTATAGAAAATGTACTTGTTATTATTATAAAAAGTGTATTTATTATTATTATTATTATTATTATTATTATTATTATTATAGAAAGTGTATTTTTTATTATAGAAAGTGTATTTTTTATTATAGAAAGTGTATTTTTTATTATAGAAAGTGTATTTATTATTATAGAACGTGCATTTATTATTATTATAGAAAATGTACTTGTTATTATTATAAAAAGTGTATTTATTATTATTATTATTATTATTATAGAAAGTGTATTTATTATTATAGAACGTGTATTCCTTTACGTGTATATATTGTTATAGAAAGTGTATTTATTATTATTATAGAAAGTGTATTTCACAAGAATATGGTTAGTGTCTCTGGTGGTTTTCTGGTGCCACTAAAGGCACATGGCGTCATAGATCTGTTCGATTATTCATCCGCTCCACCAAAAGGACCTTATAGAATCACCGATAACTCTGCCGATGCTGATTGGTTCTACCATAGGGTTCAGTGGAAGGATATGAACGGTGATGGTCGAGTTGATGCCGTGTCCTGTAGAGCTAAGAAACCCGTTTTATTTGGTAAGTAGACAGGTTCGAAAGCTATTTGGTAGGGTTAGTTTGGTATGTGAAGAGAGAGAGAGAGAGAGAGGGGGGGGGAGGGAGAGGGAGAGGGGGTGTAATGTCTACTCGACAAAACCTAGGTCATTTCGGGACTAAAATATATGATTCAATTTTAATTCAATAATTCGCTTGCGAGTAGGGGTCTTTAGCAGTGGGAGGAAACCAGAGGACCCGGAGAAAGCCCACGGGGTTTGACAGGCGACCCTACTGGTAATCGAAACCACGCCAATTGAATCAATGACAGACCTTATGATGCAGCGCGCACGCACTAACCATTCAGCCATCAACCCCCGTATTTGGTGAGAAACATGACCAATAGTAATAACGACATCAGACAAGGAGTTGTGGACATTGTCAGCTCCTAATATGTAGAATTTTATTGGAATATTTTTAACAGGACGTGAAGATGGTGAATTGGTCTGGTTTGAACAGCCAGCTTCCGGTGCTCTTTCATCCACGTGGAAAACCCACGTGTTAGCTCATGGTCCTGATGTGTTTTTTGAAATAACCAGTTTACCAACATCAAATGGTAAAATGGATTGTATTGTCACAGCTGGCTTCTTCTCTAAATCACTCAACATCTACTGGACAACAGATCCACATGGCAGATGGGATGATGCTTCTAAGGTAATGTCGTTTTAAGCATTCGTTCATTCTTAACTTCCGCTGCCACCTTGGGCCATATCGCAGACAAGTGTTTCCCGAGAAACTTGCCAGCGAGGTCAAATAGTAGGCGTGGTCTAGCGCGTGGAGGAGACACGAGATCTATTAGGAGGCCTATTCAATTCCGTTCCTTAAATACAGACACAGTGCTTTTTGAAGGGTTGCGTCAACTGCAAGATCATCTACAGGAGTTGCTCCTGGTGCAACCAATGTCATTTATATGATTATGTGTGGAATGCGATGAGTACATTTCCCGGGGAGGGGGCGGTTGGGCGGAGGAATGATCAGCGCGTGCGTGTTGTGTCATAAGGTCTATCATTGAGTCAACTGGCGTGATTTCGATTCCCCGGTTGTACGTGACAAGAAGTAGGGTCGTCTGTCCAACCTCGTGGGTTTTCTCCGGGTCCTCCGGTTTCCTCCCAATGCCAAAGACCCCTACGCGCAAGCGAATTATTGAAATGAAAAATTTAACCATGTGTTAGTCCAGAAATGACCTAGTTTGTGTAGAGTGGACGTTAAACCCCATTTCTCTCTCTTTTTATCTATTGTTTTTCAACCGGTACAGTTTAGCTTCCCATAAAACAGATGAATCTCTTGTAGCTTTACTCTAGTTTTATCTATTAAAGTAAAATGTTTAACGACGGCGATTTTTCATCTTAGTGGGTAAAACGTTGACTCGCTAACCTAGAAGTCGCATGTTTGATCCCTGTGCTGGCCGAGAAAATTCATTAGGGATTTTACAGCGTGGTTTCCCATTGTCAGGACGGAGGGCCTGGAAACTGACAACTTTTTGTCGTTTGGATGAGACGATAGACCAATGTCCCGTGTTTACATTGGTGTGCACGTAAACGATCCCTTGACGTTTGGAAACTGTAATAAGAGTAGGCCGTAGCGCCGCTGTCTGGGCAAACTGTAAGAAGGATATCGGTCTCCATTTTCCTAATCGGTGCAGAACAGTGGTGTGTTAAACCCCATTTATTTCGTACCACAGAACAAATCACGAAATAGAATTAAAATAAAATCGACCATTTTGTATCTTCAGATTAAAAGCCGTGTAATAAACAATCATATCAAGGCCGTGTTTGACGTCGATGTTGTTGATCTTGACAAAGATGGCAAACTTGATCTGCTGGTCACTAGCAATGATGCTAAAAGTGCTGCGATGTACGCGTTTGAAATACCTTCAGATTTCAGGTATAGTATATAATACATGATTACAACATCTATCTTAGGTTTAACGTCCACTCGACACTAATTAGGTCATTCTGGGACTAACATACGGTATATATTTATTACAATGGCTCACTTGCAGTGGTCGGTAACCAGAGAAACCCAGTGAAAAACATGGGGTTGGACAAATGGTTTGAGCAAGAAATGAAGTCGCGACGTTTTAATTCAATCTTCAGCATTAGACTACTCTAAGAGAAGGTCAGGTAACTTCTCTTGTCTCAGGTAGCTTGTGGGAGGTGTGTATCTGGGGGGTGGGGGTATGGAAGCGGTGTCTGGGCTCACTGTTCTTTGTGTCAATGTTTACATGCACCACCAGACTGTTTACCACGAGTAGAAATAATCAATGGTGTTTTATAATCAGAGGTTTGATAAACAATAGGGAAATTCGGGGTTTTAACAGACTTGAAGAGGAAATATCCGGGTTTATCAGGCTTTAGACAGATTAGGGTTTTAACAGACCTTAAAGGTGGAAAATCAGGGTTTTAACAGATCTTTAAAGTGGAAAATTAGGGTTTTAATAGATTTAAAGGTGGAAAATCAGGGTTTTAAAAGACCTTAAAGGTGGAAAATCAGGGTGTTAACACACATTAAAAGTGGAAAATCAGAATTTTAACGGACATTAATGGTGGTAAATCAGGGTTCTAACAGACCTTTGGGGTGAAAATATATTAGATGAAAAATATCAAGGTACCTTAAAAGATGGCAAAATATCAGGGGTTAACAGACTCCAAATATATAGAACTTGATTCATATTACAGAACTGGGACATTTAAAGAGCATGTCATTGCTACTGGTTTCGCTCCTCGTGCATCAGGACTGGGCAAGGGAGCCCCAGGATCACCGGAAGTAGTTTACGAGAACGAACATCATAAAAACGGGTGAGTACTAAAATTATATAAAACATAGTGAATGATCAAGTGTAGTCAAGTGAAATACAAAATTATATAGTAGATAGTCAAAGCTCAGTCAAGTCCAGGGCGGTCAAGTCAAATGCAAAACTATAATAACAGTTAGTCAAAATTCAAGCATAGTAAATCAAATGCAAAATTACATAGTATAGTACATAGTCAATGCTCAAGGGCAGTCAAGTCAAATACACAATTATATAGTACATAGTTAATGTTCAAGGGTAGTTAAGTCAAATACAAAATTATATAGTACAAAGTCAATGTTCAAGGATAGTCAAGTCAAATACAAAATTATATACTAAGCAGTCACTGCTCACGGATAGTCAAGTCAAATACAAAATTATATAGCACATAGTCAATGCTCAAGGGCGGTCAAGTCAAATACAAAATTATATAGTTAGCAGTCAGTGTTCAAAGGAACTCAAGTCAAATACAAAATCATATAGTGCATAGTCAAATGATACAGAATATGGTCAATGTTCAAGGGATATCCAGTCAAATAGAAAATGATATAATACATAGAAAATGCACAAGTCAAATACAAATTTGTGAGATAACAGTAGGCGGACATTCCAACCGGAACCTGTCAATTATGGTCACAACTCGTCCAACTAGTCCACCCACAAGTTCATTTGAAAGCATGCGGTATATCTAACAACCAGGAAATACAATTATAGAATTAAAAAAAATCCAATTACAATATTAAATTACTAATAAAGTATGTTGCCCATTTTAGCAAACGGATATCTAAATGATTTAAAATGAATCTTGAGATGTGGGTGGAGAGTTCAGTATTTTGAATTCGCTGAAACCAAACAAAAGTCGGTGATTCAATAAACCAAGATATGTACATATACGTACATAAATGGAAAGTGTTTTTTTTAATAAAGAAATACCAGAATGTATTTCATATTATAATGATCTAGGTTTATTGTTTTCTTCAAGATTTTGTTGGTGTAAATGTTCATTAATTTATCACTTAAACATACATTACGCAAGGGCTAAATCTGCCTATTGGAGGTCTTTCTTTAGGCCTGAAACGTTATCTAAATTACTAATTAGACATTAATTAACTTATCCAGACCATAATCAACTCTCGTTGTCGTCGCTAGCCTGCGATATTTACTGGATTAGGATCCGATTTGCTGCTCCACTTTCATTCATGATTAAATCATGAAATGGATAATCGAGACTATGTTTTTATCGTACCGAATTTAGTAATGTTGATCGAGGCTAGGCCGAAAATTCAATGGCTAAATTCTCGGTTCAGAGTGGATCAATTTGACTGAAATTTTCAGCAAATACCCTTTACATTATCAAGTTTTTAACTATTATAGTGAGAACTGCCAGCTCTTTATCTAATCTCCCATAATGTATCCTTAAAGCAGAAAAAGCTTTGATACCAATTAAGTCGTTATTTAGTAAATTTGGCCACCTATCATTAAATGTATTATGTAAAGTATTTAATAGTATAATAAAACCTATTCTTTTATGTCTCTCAAGTATGGGGCTATGATTATCGAGCGGTTATAGAGACGGTACACACCACCAGTTTCTGTAAATTTGTATTAGGTAAACTTTAACAAAGGCAGGGGCATTGGGTGACAAAATTTAAATGTATACTACATGTCAAACTGTATCAGATGTGCTTTTTTCATAAAATAAAATTAATTCAAGGCTTTTCTTTACAAAAATAGATAAACATTATCGAATACATCACGATGGTAGACAGTAATATCAATGTAGGTACAAAATGACACGTTTACATCAGAGATTTTAGTCAAAGAATTTTTGTTCAAAGCAAGTTTCAGCGACGCCAAATTTACCGATGAAAGTATTGATGTTTGCCCAAAATGCATCCAAGCGTGAAATTTACTTGACGTCAGCACTAACAGACTTTAATAAGAGGTCACTCCCGTTAAGCGGCCAGTCATGAAAATTCACGTCAGTGGGTGCTTAATACAGATTCTAGTGTATGCTGATCGAGAGGTACCCTAAATAGGTTTACCTTATGTTTACGAATTTAGATTTAGCAGGCCGTAAAACCTGGGCCCTTATTGACGAAAACTTAAACTAAGTTACAACCGAAATTATAAGAAATACTGCAACTTCATTGGATATATGCAAATTGATTTTACTGGTCAGCCAATCGAATTGCAGTATTTCTTAAAATTTCGATTGTATCTTAGTTTAAGTTTTCGTGGATAAGGGCCCTGGGTTTCAAACATTAGATTACTACTTTATTCTCTTGGTTTTGCTTATGTATTTAACGTTAAAATAATTGATGATACTAATAACTATATTGGAGTCTTTAAGCAGAGTTTACAGGATATTAACATACAAGAATGGTCGATACCTTTAAACAGTTCGGAGAGCTTAAGAGTATAGATATTTTAAAGGCACTATTCCGATTTGAACAGAGTCTCAAAAATAAAGTCAGAGTACGTATGAAATTTAAGCGCCAAAATATAGAGGAATGGTGTATTTACCTTGTCTCAAAATTCCAGCTCAAAATATTGAGTCGTTTGGACGTGAATGTCCAAACTGCTTATCCGCACACGTAACCCATTTAAGATTTCGGGTCTAGTTTTTCGTTGGGTTACCTGATAATCGATTCCCGTTCCTTGAGAGGTCTATACAGTGAATGACCCATGTGCTGTACTTGATAACGAAAGGTAAATTTCACCTACACATTATTTTTATAAAAAAAAAATGTCTGGTTTTATCCAGACACTGCATAATACAGCTTGGGACACCGGTCTCCATTTCCAGATGAAGACTGATGGGTTTAAATTGTTTGAAAACGTATCGTTTATATTGAGTTAGTTGCGCTGCCCTTGGGTTACGTTGGGTAGAGGATTTTAAGGGATTTTAACACAAAATTAAGCAGTTTTATTCTCCAAAAACTTATCGGGATTGGCCCTTTAAGCATGATTTATGTCAAGAATATTACCTGCCTTGTAACATAAGAACGGCATATAGGCGAAATATAACTCGCTTACGATTAAATCAGTTAACACTGGCAACCAATCATCATCGTTTACGTGTTAATTCATCACTTTGTCCCATGTGTAAGAATGGTTGACCAAGATATTTATCATTTTCTATTTGATTATGTACAGCTTATGAGTCATTAAGAAATAGGTATATGCCTGTTAAATTTGCTTAAACATACATTATGCAAGAGCTAAATCTGATTATTGCAAGTCTTTATTTAGGTTTCAGATGTCATAGAAATTATAAATTAGATCTTTATTTACACAACAAGCACAAAATCAACTCTGTAGACCCACGGATGGCTTGGATTCGCTTGGATTTAAACAGGATTTCATTGATTGATTAAATTTTTAAATGGCGTCGTAAGCTGAGATTAACCGTTACGTTGACGTCATACTCCGGGAAATTTTAGATCGAGGCTGAATGATAGAGTGTACGAAGCGAGGCCGCTGTTGAGCGAGGCCGCATATGTCGGTCAATTGATTGAAAGTTCGATATATACGGCCTTGATATTATGTTTATTTGTGGTTAAAATGAGAGTTTGGATGTCGGTATTATACGCTCTTTTGTCACTTGCGTTTACAGAAAAATTATGGAAATTGATAAACATCGCAGCTAACATCACCCCAGAGTTGAATTGCAGCCCATGCAGCCCCATTGGATCAATGTTTCCTATTTCAATTTGTCTGCTTCGGGAGTACACGCAGGCTAACAAGATTGAAGAAGTCGGCTATAATTATGCCTCATTGATTTGGTCCATTCCTTTAAAACTTTCGCTTCTTATCTATATAATAAAAGTCCTATTTTTAATTTGTAGTAAAAATAAATGTGATACGAATTGAAAACGTTACTTTATAATCGAGATTATGTAGGTGGAGTTAACGCCTGTCAATCAATTTCTAGTCAAAAATTACAACGGTGATAACTTTGTTCAGAATAAAGTAATTTGACTGAAATTTTCAATATATTCTTCTTTTATCATGTATTTTTGAACTGTTATAGCAAGAATGGCCAACTCTCTATTAAAATCCCCCATAATGTATCTTTAAGGGTATTGTGATCCAAATCGATTTTCCAAGTTGTGAACAACTAAGAATAGGGATTTCATTATTGTCATTGGTTCGTATATATAGAGAAGGTTTTATTGTTAAGACAATTGAGAATATCGCCACCATTGAAAAAAACTTGAGCATTATTAATGTATATATTATGTTCTTCGTATTGCAAATATATACAATTCATAATCTATCTCACTGTATTATCGGTCAATGACCTGATATACTGAATAATGATTATTATTATTATTTATATAAATAGGAAATAGAGAAAATTCAATAAACCAAGATCTGTATCATGAACATGAGATTAAAACAATAATATCTTATTGATAAACAAAATATTATACTTTACTTCATTATCATATTGTATTAGGTAGGTTGGGTGGAAGAATGGTTAGGGTCACCTGTCCAACCTCGTGGGTTTTATCCGGGTCCTCCGGTTTCCTCCCACTGCTAAAGACCTCTACGCGCAAGCAAATTATTGAAATAAATTAAAACCATATGTTAGTCCTGAAATGACCTGCTTTGTGTTGAGTGGACGTTAACTCTCTCTCTCTCTATCTCTCTCTTTCTCTCACTCTGGGGATCACGGTGGCTAAGTGGGTAAGGCGCTGGCTCGCTAGCCTGGAGGTCGGGTGTTCGATCCCTGCATTGGCCGAGAAAGTTCATCCAGATTTTCCGGCGTGGTTCCCCCTTGTCAGTGATGCAGGACGGAGGGCCTGACAAGGACAACTGTCTAGTCATTCGGATGAGACGAAAAACCGAGGTCCCGTGTACACATTGGCGTGCACGTAAAAGATCCCTTGACAGTTGGAATTCGATATAAGAGTAGGCCGTAGTGCCGCTGTCCGGGCAAAATTACCCTCATAGCACACTGTATGGCGTATGTCCGTCTTCATTAGCCCAGTTCGGAGCAAAACAGTAGGACGTTAAACCCCATTTCATTTCATTTCTCTCTCTCTCTCTCTCTCTCTCTTATATTGTATAATCATTCTTCCATGTCGTCACATGTTATTTTATGTCTTGAAATGCTGAGACAATAGTGAACAATGAAATGAAATGGGGTTTAATGTCCTACTGTTCTACTCCGAACTGGTCTAATGAAGACGGGATACGCCATACACAGTGCTGTGAGGGAAATTTTGCCCGGACAGCGGCACTGCGGCCTACTTATATATCGAATTCCAACTGTCAAGGTTACTTTACGTGAACGCCAATGTGTACATGGCACCTCGGATTTTCGTACCATCCGAACGACTAGGCAGCTTTTTGTGTCAGGCCCTCCTTTACGTACCACTGTCGTTGGGAAACCACTACAACTCGATAACTTTCTCGGCCAACACCGGGATCAAACCCGCGACTCCTCGGATAGCGAGAGAGCGTCTTACTTTATGGGCCACCGTGGTGGGTCCCATTCTTTATGCATTTTAACCCTTTTCTATATTAAAATTCCATTTTAGCTAGCTCTTTCTCTAAGATTATCAGGTATTGATAATTATTAAAAGTAAACATAGTTTTGATTGATATATTAGCTAAAATGGAATTTGTATTTTCTTTTCAAAACTTCATATCATGGGAGTAGAATTTTCTATTAACGTTTTCTATGCTCCAGTCCACCAAAAAATGATTTGATATTCGATGTTGTAACATGGATAGAAATGAAATGAAATGAAATGGGGTTTAACGTCCTACTGTTCTGCTCATTTCATTTCCTTGCTATTTGTAGAGAAGTTGTCAAACATCCATATTATACGACATGTTAAATGTACATGATATAGGTACAATACTTTTCAATCTGATTAGTTTCGTTTTTGGTTTTTTTTATAGTTCAAAATTTGGTTTTACTTGTCATTACTACGCTAGGATCTGAGGGATTAGCCAGTGAAACCATTTGTTTCGGCGACTTCTTGGCGTGCGATGCACGGAACTGTGGGTAAACCACTGGAAATGTCAACGCCTGGCGTCATCGAGTAGAAAGCCGCTCATATGACCTCTGAAGCGAACTTCTCCTATATCCGGTCAGATCTTTATGTAGGCCATCGAAAGTATAAAAAAAACCGAAACGAAATATGGATCTGTATTTTAATCAGATTGAATTATCCAACTTTAAATAGTTTACTTGTTTTTTTATTCGGGACACTAGATTTATTAATTATTGTTTTCCCTGTATTTTAGGAAACCGATGATAATATTATCAGGCGATGATGATGGTCGAGCTCATTTATTAAAACCAAGATCAACATCACATGGTGATTTTACATATTCTATGGAGACCATCTTGGATGTAGGATCTGGTACCGTGGGTAAAATAGCCCATAAAGATGTAGATGGGGATGGCTATCCAGAAGTATTTATACCAGCATATAATGCCGGCAAGGTGTATGTGTATACATTCAAACCATAATATTGTAATAAAATCATTCTAAAATATATTCCCAGTGATATTTTACATATTTAAAATGTCATCCTTGCTCGTATTTCTCAGTAATAGGCCATATACTTGAGAGGGGGTTGGATGGCGGAAGGGTTAACGCGTGCGCGTTGTATCATAAAGTCTGTCATTTAGTCAATTTCTTAGTTTCAATTCCTTGCTTTGACGTCACAAGTAGTATGGTCTTCTGTCCAACCTCATGGGTTTACTCCGGGTCCTCCGGTTTCCTCCCACTGCTAAATACCTCTACGCGCAAGCGAATTATTGAAATAAAACCATGTTTTAGTCCTGAAATAGCTAGTTTTTTTGTCTAGTGGACGTTAAACCCCATTTCTCTCCTTCTCACTATACTTGAGTCTTGGGGGCACATATACAATCAAGCAGTTGACCCAGGAAATCACCAAACCTCTGCGCTCCACTGCATTCACGGTCATATACAGTTTTAATAACGACAGGTGCATGCTTACTTATATTATTCTCGTCGCTAACACAGTTGTTGTTTAAAACGTCTGGAAATAACAGATGGGTGTTGACCTAATTCTGTGAGTTAAAAGTTCAGATCATGTTTACCTTATATTGCTTATCATCGTATCATTATGTCAGCGGTTTACACTCAGATAAGAAATATCTTTAAAACTACAGGTACATGTATATCTACTGAATTAAATACTAATACAGGTAAATATACTGTGTTATATACTAATACAGGTAGCGCTACTGAATTATATACTACTACAGGTATATCTACTGAATTATATACTATACTCTTTAAAAAAAATTAGGGGATATTCAGAAACAATACAAAACTGCGGAAATGCACTGCTGTTTTTATTATAGGTAACCAGTGTATGTTAATAACAGGCCAATTGCCTACACATGAACACAAACAGTTCACATGGGCGGCCTATCTGATGGCTCCATTTCACTCGCAAAGAGATACACTGTCAAAAGTGAAAATGGGCGTTTTTGACTTTTGTCTTAATAATATTTGCTCCACCAATCCTCAGACATTCAGCAATTCGTCATGGCATGCTCCTAATCAACCGTCCAATCACGATTTGGGACAGTCTGACCCACTCCTCTTGCAGTGCCACGGCCAATTCTTGCAGTGTTGTCGGTTGATGTTGACGTCGATTAACACGTCTCCCGATCATGTCCCAGCCATGCTATATAGGGGAAAGGTCGGGACTAATGGCTGGCCAAGGCATATGGACAATATGGTGACGCTGGAGGTAGTCATTCACGACACGAGCGCGATGTGCACGGGCATTATCATCTTGAAAGATGAAAAGTCGACCTGCACGTTGAGCAAAGGGCAGAACTATCGGTGCCAGGATGTGGTCAGGGTAGTACACACCAGTGACCCTTCCTTGAACAATATGCAAGTCCGTTCTGCCAGTCATGGTGATTCCTCCTCACACCATAACAGACCCACGCCCGAATCTGTCATGCTGTCTGACGTTAACGTTAGCATGACACTCATTTACACGCCTACACCATTAACGCCTGTTTGCCATGTGCTGGCGAGATAATGGTCGTGATGCATGCAATTGGGCTGCATATAGCCGATTTCTAATCGATTGTGGTGTAACGCGAATTCCTGTAACTTGGTACAAATTTACAGAAAGCTTATTGGCCGTTTGTCCTCGATTTCGCAGGACCTGTGTACAAATGTATCGATCCTGGGCTTGTGTAGTGGCTCTAGGACGACCTGATCGAGGTCTATCATCAACATTGTGTGTTTGTTAGTACCAGTTCCACAGTCTGCTGATCACAGACTGTGACACATACTCTCAAAGCATGTCAAGTGTCCATGACTATTTATCATATCACAACCTGCATAGATATTTGCATTTCAATATCCCCTACAGGTATATCTACTGTGGCCGAATGGTTAACGCATGCGCGCTGTATCATAAGGTCTGTCATTGGGTCAACTGGATTGCCTGTCCTATCTCGTGGGTTTTCTCCAGGTCCTCCAGTTTCGTCCCATTGCTAAAGACCCCTACGCGCAAGAGAATTATTGAAATAAAATTGAACCAGATGTTGGTTGGTGGCTTGGCTTCGATTCCTCGCTTATACGTGACAAGGAACAGGGTCGTCTGTCCAACCGCGTGGGTTTTTCTTCCGGTCCTTCGGTTTCGTCCTACCTCTAGACACCCTTACGCGCAAGTGAAATAAAACTGAACCATATGTTAGTCCCAAAATGCCCTAGTTTCTGGACGTTAAAACACCAACGCGAAATCAATTTCTTGAATTTTATCACAGCTGAATCGGGACCTGGTACGACACGTTTGTCAAGGCTTTATCTTTAGCTTCTAGATATCTACGACTTTCCTTGCTTAAAGGACAATATTGGTGTCAGTCATTATCACATATATGATAAACACGTTCCAAATATTATTTTAACTCACAGATCATTGCTACGATAGATGCGGCAAGATTTCAAAAACGGGAAGTGAGGAAAACACGAGTTATCCTTCTATATAACTGACTGAAGTGGCGAGTGATAACAGATACATGAGCGAATTTCTTGTCACTAAGTTCTATTATATGCGATAATGACTGATACCAGTATTTTCCTTTAACGTTCGCTACCATCTACACTCGACTTACTGCATTAAAGATGTATTATATACGAGCTAAAACTGCCTATTGCACGTCTTTATTTGTTTCTTGCTTTAAATGTTATATTTATTATTATTTATACATTTATTATATAATCCACTCTCTATAATCTTCGTTACTATGACAATACTTTTAACAATCTGGTTTTAGCGATAAGTACCAAGACGACCCCACGATTAATGTATACACTAGCGGTTGACCCGGAGTAGCCATCACCTGGATGTAGTGTAACTTCGAAACCGGAAGTGGTATGTTATGTTGCTCTCCAGTCCGCACTAACCCTATACACCAACTTTTAGCCTGGGGACGACAACCCCATTGTAGCTGCCAACCCTGAACAGACAGACAGACAAACAAACAAACACACGACCGCCACAGATATTAGTATAGACTATAATCTAAATTTAATAAAAGTCATGGAGCACTTTGTCACATTGTCAAAGAAGATCTAAGGATTCTCAGATCAGGTTAGGTGGAGATAAATCTACTGAAACAGCTTTAACCCATCGAGGTAATAAAAGATATGATGAGTAAGACTTTGGTCATTGATATCTAAATATTGAGGGCTACCAAAGTAAAGGAGAGTTCAATTAATAGTATTACCCTTGTCTTTAGCTATAACCCACAGCATCCAAACTTCTTTAAAACACAGCATGAGAGCAGAAAAATCAAAACATACAATATTTGAAAGACAGCCAGCTAATCTGAAACGTCTCCTAACCAAAGCAATTCATAACTGTGGCCATACAAGTAAGTTACAACAATATTTCAAAGTACTTTTTCGCTCATCTTGGGAGCCCATCAGAAAAGTTATATCTATCTTATAACATCCGAAGCAGTCCATTGAATGCAGACAACTTATGGTTTGATTTATATTTATTTTTATGCATATATTATGTAGTCAGTAATTAAATTCAAAGAACCGTAAACTGAGTTATAAATGACATGAAATGGGGTTTAACGTCCCACTGTTCTGCATCGAGTAATGAAGACGGGCATACACCGTACAGTGTGCTATCAGGCAAATTGTGACCGGACAGCGGCACCACGACCTACTCTTATATCGAATTCCAACTGTCAAGGTTATTCTTATGTGCACTTCAATGAATATACGCGGCCTAGGCTTATCGTCCCACCCGAACGACTATACGCTGTCCCATGCAAGGCCCTCTGTCCTGTACCACTGAGGATTAACTTTGTTACCTGTTAAGGTAGGGCCAGTCAATATAAGTCACGAACCCATTCATGCTAAGTGGGTTATGATAAAAATAGGCCATGATAGTTTGGGCTCTATCTATTATTTTTTTTTTGGAATGAAGGTGACATATAAATATGCACTAGAATTTTGTTAAATTGATAGTCTGTCGTCGTCCTCGGCTGGTTACAGATAGGACATGGTTGGGTTTCTGGCTTTCGTGCTAGCGTCTGTTCTTTCAGCCGGCATACAGGGAGCCTCGGTTAAAAAATTAGGAACGTTCTCAGCACCTCATGCTGCCTTTATAGAAGTTGTAGAAGACACGCATGCGAGTTCAGCGAAGGATAAATATCATTTATTTATATCAAGTTTCAACGCAGTTCCTCTTAGTAAAGATCATGTGTATGAAGTGACGAAGATCGGGTCTCACCTTCATAACGTCGCCGGCATCAAAGTCATCACAGCTACATCATCTGTTACCTGGCCGAATGAAGTTGGCGCGGTACCAGGTAAGAACGATTTCACCATACTCCATTATACTGGATACATATAGCCGTATTAAGGGGATTAGATGGCTGAATTGTTAGTGCTTGCACGTTGTATCATAAGGTCTGTCATTGAGTCAACTGCCGTGGTTTCGATTACCTGGTTGTACGTGACAAGGAGTAGGGTCGCCTTCGGTTTCCTCCCACTGTTAAAGACCCATACGCGCAAACGAACTATGAAATAAAATTGAATCATATGTTAGTTCTGAAATGATCTAGTCTCTCTCTCTCTCGCTCTCGCTCTCTCTCTCTCTCTCTCTCTCTCTCTGAAGAACCCTGCACGCAAGCGAATTATTGAAGTAAAAGTGAACCATGTTAGTCCCGAAATGACCGTATTAAGGTTAGGTATGTGTGTGTATAGAGGGGACAAAATGCGTAGATTAATGAAAAAAAAACAAAACAAATAATTCATTATGAAATTAAACGGCACGGGGGGGGGGGGAGACACGCATAGTCTAATGGGCTCTCTCCAAAAAGCCAGCTAAGTTATTTTCTGGCATTTCCTTGGTCCCCGGTCTGGTAGGCGGTGGGGTCTTTTTCACCGACACACAATGGGTCAACATATTTTTAACTCTATAGATTATTTTGGACCTGGCTAGGTTTAAATAAGATGTACAGGTTGTTGACAACGTTACTTCAGCTGTAATTATATGCTATTATCAAAATTATTCAGACAAAATAAACAAAGAAAAACATTGAATTTTTTATTTGAACCAAATCAAGTCGGGACAGGATTTAATTATTCTTATGAATGATGTGCAGACAAAAAAACATGTACTCGATTACACAATCCTGTGTCATGGTACCCTAAAAACAATGTGTCCTTTATGTCCTGCCCTGTTGTCCAGAAAAGGGTCTAAATTTATAATGTCTGTCTCATAATGGTACGTCTGCTGAGTTGTGACCCTGGCACTTCTTTTAAAAGACTTGCCCTTCGCGCTGGACCAGGCGTGTGTTTACTGGATTGGTCACTTGCAAACATGGAGTCTGACTGAGGGAAATGGCCTAATGGTTGGTGCTATATCAGTTTCACCCAAGATTCTGGCGTTACAGTGACCTTATTAACACAAATCTAGCTGTCCAGTCTAGACAGTACCTCAAAACGCACGAAATTATAGAATTTATTATTATAAAAAGTGTATTAGAAAGTGTATTTATTATTATTATTATTATTATTATTATTATTATTATTATTATTATAGAAAGTGTATTTATTATTATAGAAAGTGTATTTATTATTATTATTATTATAGAAAGTGTATTTATTATTATAGAAAGTGTATTTATTATTATAGAAAGTATATTTATTATTATAGAAAGTGTATTAGAAAGTGTATTTATTATTATAGAAAGTGTATTAGAAAGTGTATTTATTATTATTATCATAGAACGTGTATTTATTATTATAAAAAGTGTATTTATTATTATAGAAAGTGTATTTATTTATTATTATAGAAAGTGTATTTATTATTATAGAAAGTGTATTTATTATTATCATTATAGAACGTGTATTTATTATTATAGAAAGTGTATTTATTATTATTATTATTATTATTATTATTATTATAGAACGTGTATTTATTATTATAGAAAGTGTATTTATTATTATAGAAAGTGTATTTATTATTATCATAGAACGTGTATTTATTATTATAGAAAGTGTATTTATTATTATTATTATAGAACGTGTATTTATTATTATAGAAAGTGTATTTATTATTATAGAAAGTGTATTTATTATTATAGAAAGTATATTTATTATCATAGAACGTGTATTTATTATTATAGAAAGTGTATTTATTATTATAGAAAGTGTATTTATTATTATAGAAAGTATATTTATTATTATAGAAAGTATATTTATTATTATAGAAAGTGTATTTATTATTATCATAGAACGTGTATTTATTATTATAGAAAGTGTATTTATTATTATAGAAAGTATATTTATTATTATAGAAAGTGTATTTATTATTATCATAGAACGTGTATTCGGTATTTATTATTATAGAAAGGGTATTTATTATTGTTATAGAAAGAGAGAGAGCTAGGTCATTTCGGGACTAACATATGGCTTAATTTTATTTCAAAAATTCACTTGCGCGTAGGGTTCTTTAGCAGTGGGATGAAACCGGAGGACCCAGAGAAAACCCACAAGGCTGGACAGGCAACCCTACTCCTTGTCACGTACAACCGGGGATTCGAAACCACGCAAGTTGAGTCAATGACAGGCCTTATGATACAGCGCACGCGTGCTAACCATTCGGCCATCCAACCCCCCGTATTCATTATTATAGAAAGTGTATTTATTATTATAGAATATTATAGAAAGTGTATTTATTAGTATAGAAAGTGTATTTATTAGTATAGAAAGATTATTATAGAAAGTGTGTTTATTAGTATAGAAAGTGTATTTATTAGTATAGAAAGTGTATTTATTAGTATAGAAAGATTATTATAGAAAGTGTATTTATTATTATTATAGAAAGTGTATTTATTATTATTATAGAAAGCGTATTTATTAGTATAGAAAGATTATTATAGAAAGCGTATTTATTAGTATAGAAAGATTATTATAGAAAGTGTATTGATTATTATTATAGAAAGCGTATTTATTAGTATAGAAAGATTATTATAGAAAGCGTATTTATTAGTATAGAAAGTGTATTTATTAGTATAGAAAGATTATTATAGAAAGTGTATTGATTATTATTATTATTATTATTATTATTATTATAGAAAGTGTATTTATTATTATTATAGAAAGTGTATTTCACAAGAATATGATGAGTGTATCCGGTGGTTTTCTGGTGCCACTAAAGGCACATGGCGTCATAGATCTGTTCGATTATTCATCCGCTCCACCAAAAGGACCTTACAGAATCACCGATAACTCTGCCGATGCTGCTTGGTTCTACCACAGAGTTCAATGGAAGGATATGAACGGTGATGGCCGAGTTGATGCCGTGTCCTGTAGAGCTAAGAAACCCATTTTATTTGGTAAGTTGACATATTATATGAAAATACGCCAGCCTAAATTAATAAAGCAGTAACGGCTCTGTGATTTTCTAGCATGGGACGTGGAGGGATGGAAAAGAGGACTGTGGGCTGGGAAAGGCGGTGGGAAAAAGGGGCAGTGGGGGTGAGTGTTCCGCCAGTAAATTCTAAAAATTCTAGGCGAAATGTGCGATTTTGGGGTATGGCCTTTATAAGGAACACGGTTAAATAGCTGTATCTTTGGGTCGATCAGAAGGTAGGAGGTAATGTCCATCGTAGAGGTTGAGCAGGAGCGGATCCAGAGACCCCCTCCACACCCCCACACCCCACACACACACACCAACACACACTTGTTCAGCTACATAAAAACATTGTAAAACAACCCCCTCCTTCAAAAAATCCGGGACCCACCCGTGTTTAGGGTTGGGCATTGATAAATATTAAGATGGGACAACTTGGTGCATGAATGTCTAATTTTTGGAAGCTTGGAGGCTGAAGTTCTGTCAGTATTTAGAAGAGTATTTGCATATTAACAGGAAGCGAGGACGGTGAATTGGTTTGGTTTGAACAGCCATCTTCTGGTGCTCTTTCATCCACGTGGAAAACCCACGTGTTAGCTCATGGTCCTGATGTGTATTTTGAAATAACCAGTCTACCAACATCAAATGGTAAAATGGATTGTATTGTCACAGCTGGCTTCTTCTCTAAATCTCTCAACATCTACTGGACAACAGATCCACATGGCAGATGGAATGATGCTTCTAAGGTAATGGAATGGGGTTTAACGTCATTGCCAGACTGGCGTATGCTAATTTCGATTTCTGTGCGAGGAGCATTTCACCCAAACAGTGGTACGTTTGCATGTAGTTTTTAGAGGATCCGTTGCGTGCACGTTACCGATTTGTACGCTGGGTCTCTGTTTTTTGCCTCATCTGTGTCAACCTCCAGTGCGAACCTGGCTAGAAATTACTCGATTCCAAACTACACAACCACCGCGACCCCCATAACTTGGATAACTTTAACAAATACCAAATTGGGGCGAATCTGAATTATTACATCTATAATCTTAACAACTAGCACAGTATACAGGAACATATATTAAGTCAGCTCAGAAACAAAATTTCATTTTTGAGTCCACAGATGATATTGATGACACAGATCATCAATAGCGGGTAAACCCGCCACGTGTCCTGGTGACAGCTTTCAGCCATCGTCGCATCCCTCCAATAAGTCGTCTCATCTGCGTAATGGGCAACTGCTGCCATTCACGATCGAGAGCTGTCTCCAATTGTCCAGTTAAAATGTATTTCTGATTCAGTACCTCCATACTTATTGTGACTACCGTGTTGGCTTAAATAGAGAACCTTGGAATTCTTTTCAGAGAGAGAGAGAGAGAGGGGGAGAGAGAGAGGGGGGAGAGAGGGGGGAAATGGGGATTTAACATCCACTAGACACAAACTAGGTAATTTCGTGACTAACATATGGTTCAATTTTTTTTATTTCTATCATTCGCTTGCGCGTGGGGATCTTTAGCAGTGGGAGGAAACCGGAGGACCCGGAGAAAACCAACGAGGTTGAACAGTCGACCCTACTCCTTGTCACGTACAACCGGGGAATTGAATCCACGCCAGCTGACTCAATGACAGACCTAATGATACAACGTGAACGCGCTAACCAATCGGCCAATTCTTTTCAGAATCATGACTAAAATCTAAAAACAGGATAAACTCTTTATGTTTTGTGATTGTCAGTGATGTATTCCTGCAAACCACATTTGTTTTTTCTTGGTCTCGTCTTCATTAGCCCAGTCGGAACAGTAACACGTTAAACTCCATTTTATTTCATTTTATTAGGGTGTCCACTCCAAACCAAGAGCTAAATCAGCCTATTGCGGGTCTGTCTTTAGGCCTGAAATGTTACATAGACATTTATTAACACAAGACCATAATCAACTCTCGATGTCATCGGATATCTCCGATATTAAGTAGATTAGAACGGTTCGGCTATATTTTTATTTAATTCAAATATGGAGAGCTTCGAACAACAAGTACGGTGGTTACAATTAATGCACACATGTTGCCAAACCTTTAAAGGCTAGTATCTTCGCTCAGAATAGAGTAATATGAATGACATTTCCAATATATTCATTTTGCATTATCTATTTTTGAACTATTACGGCAAGAATGGCCAGCTTTGTATCTAAATCTTGCATAATGTATCTTTTAAGACAGGCCAATGTGAAAAACACAAAGTGTGCTTCACTTTGTTTCTTTGTGTATAATAGAATATAACCTGTCTCTTCAGATTAAAAGCCGTGTAATAGACAACCATATCAAGGCCGTGTTTGACGTAAAGGTTGTTGATCTTGACAAAGATGGCAAACTTGATCTACTGGTCACTAGTAATGATGCTAGAAATGCTGGGATGTACGCGTTTGAAATACCTTCAGATTTCAGGTAATGTATACTCAATAATGACAGATTGTGAGATCTTAGCGCACGAGTCAGATCCAGAGCCGGGTTATGCGCGTATGGGGCCCCTAGCAGAAAATATAATAAGGGCCTTTGCATCAACAGTGAAAGGGTGAGATATTCTGGTAATATAAAACATTATAACTAAGAGCCTAAAATCATAAATTATATGATTTATAGATAAACAAAATAATCGGTCTTAATAGTTTTTAGATAAATTAGGGACTTTAACAGGTTTTAAATGTATATAATCTGGGTCTTTAACAGGTTTTAGATGTAGATAATTGGGTTTAACAGGTTTTAGATGTAGATAATTGGGTTTAATAGGTTTTAGATGTAGATAATTGGGTTTAATAGGTTTTAGATGTAGATAATTGGGTTTAATAGGTTTTAGATGTAGATAATTGGGTTTAATAGGTTTTAGATGTAGATAATTCGGGGCATTAATAAGTTTTAGATGCAGATAATTCTGGGCATTAATGAGATGTAGATAATTCGGGCTTTAATAGGTTTTAAATGTAGATAATTCGGAGCTTTCATAGGTTTTAGATGTAGATAATTCGGGGCTTTAATAAGTTTTAGATGCAGATAATTCAGGGCTTTAATAGGTTTTAGATTCAGATAATTCAGGGCTTTAATAGGTTTTAGATGTAGATGGGGACTTACTTTCATCCAAGAAAGTTCCTTTGGGATTTTCTAGATTGCCCTTTCTTTGTCATGGTTACAGGGAATAGACTGTAGTTCTTCGGATAGTCTAAAATAATCTAGACACGGTGTAAACGTTGGCTCTCACATAATAGAACCCTTAGCAGTTGGAATTCGATGAAGAGTAGCCTGAATCACATCTGTCAGGGCAAAATGCCCATGTACACAGCATGGCGTATGCTCAACTTTATTAGCCTGGTTGGTGCAATAAACGTAGGACTTTAAACCTCATTTCATTTTATTTCGTGTTTTCATCTGACAGAACTGGAACATTTAAACAGCATGTCATTGCTACTGGTTTCGCTTCTCGTGCATCAGGAATGGGCAAGGGAGCACCAGGATCACCGGAAGTAGTTTACGAGAACGAACATCATAAAACCGGGTGAGTGTTAAAATTTTATAGTACAGTCAATGCTCAAGTCAAATACTGAATAGATAATGCTCAAGTCAAGTCAAAACCAACAGATAATGCTCAGGGGAAGTCAAGTCAAAACCAACAGATAATGCTCAGGGGAAGTCAAGTCAAAACCAACAGATAATACTCAGGGGAAGTCAAATACAAAAAAAAACGATATGTAAAGAGACATAATTGTGAGAGAACGGTATGGTATAATTAGGGACGTGCTTACCGATGATTTTATATGAGGAACAAGACTCGCCACTCTAGATCACGGATGGCCAATCTCCAGTGCATGCGCTAAACGGCGAATTGAATGATCAGTGGTGGCGCATGGCAATCATGTGATAATAATAAAATACGGCAGTAGGTCTACTCATTAAAGATACATTATGGGAGATTAGATAAAGAGCTGGCAGTTCTCACTATAATAGTTAAAAACTAGATAATGTAAAGGGTATTGGCTGAAAATTTCAGTCAAATTGATCCACTCTGAACCGAGAATTTAGGCCTAGCCTTGATCATCATTACTAAAATCGGTACGATAAAAAAAAGTCTCGATTTTGATAACATTTCAGGCCTAAAGAAAGACCTGCAATAGACAGATTTGGCTGTTGCATAATGTATGTTTAAGACTATCTGAGTACAGATTTGGCTCTTGCATAATGTATGTTTAAGACTATCTGAGTAAAAGGGACGATAATGGAGAGTGGAGACCCCCCCCCCCACACACACACCCGCCCTTTAAACAGATAATAATTATCTGTAAATATACGTTATGGTTTCGTTCCGACGGGCCTGATTGAATATACGAGTATGTGACTGCTTTGAATTAAGGCCTATCTGGAGAGTGGGCTGGATTGTGCGGAGAAGAGAAGATGACACAATTGTTATAATATTCGTTAAGAGAGATTAGACAGTGTGAAAATAGAAACACACCGTAAACTTTAAACGAAGATTTGTTTTCTGTATTTTAGGAGAGAGAGAGAGATAAATGAGGTTTAACGTCCACTCGACACAAACTAGGTCATTTCGGGACTAATGTATTTTAGGAAACCGATGAAAATAGAAACACAGTGTAAACTTTAAACCACGATTTTTTTTTCTGTATTTTAGGAAACCGATGATAATTTTATCAGGCGATGATGATGGTCGAGCTCATTTATTAAAACCAAGATCAACATCACATGGTGATTTTACATATTCTATGGAGACCATCTTGGATGTAGGATCTGGTACCGTGGGTAAAATAGCCCATAAAGATGTAGATGGCGATGGCTATCCAGAAGTATTTATACCAGCATATAATGCCGGCAAGGTGTATGTGTATACATTCAAACCATAATATTTATACCAGCATATAATTCCGGCAAGGTGTGTGTGTATACATTTAAACCATAATATTGTAATAAAATCATTCTAAAATATATTCCCAGTGAGGGAGGTATTAGTAGCAAGTAGTTTACTCGGTATTGCGGATATACCCCCCCCCCCTTTTAGAGTTATTTCCCTTTAACCCTTTGCATGATGGGCTATGTTGTGCGTGGTCACGACAGAATTTGAAGAGAGAGAGAGAGAGAGAGGGGGGGGGGTAACATCCACTCGACACAAACTAGGTCATTTCGGGACTAACACATGGTTCAATTTTAATGCAATAGTTTGCTTACGCGTAGGTGTCTCTAGCAGTGGGAGGAAACCGGAGGTCCCGGAGAAAACCCACGAGGTTGGACAGGCAACAGAATTTGTATTATATCAATCATGTGATGTGGCGGTTGTTGTTTGAAAGAGTAGGGTCATTTCGGTACTAAAACATGCGGTTCTGTTGGGGCGATAAGTTCTTCATCTGTGAACATACTCTCAAAGCATTTCAAGTGTCCATGACAATTTATCATATCGCAACCTGCATAGGTATTTGCATTTCAATATCCCCTACTTTTTTTTGAAGAGTATATATAACATTGCACTCAGAGCTCTGACGCCAAGGCATTTATAGTTTACATATTAGTGGCCCAATCTCATTAAAATAAATATATATATTTCCTGTCGTTTTTTAATTCTTTCGATGGCCTACATAACATGAAGATCTGACCAGTTGTACTGGAAAGTAGCGTCAGGGGCCGTCATTAATCAATGACATCAGACATTGATTAATCAATCAGCTTTGACGTTTCTAGTAGCTAATCCCTCACGCCATCCAGAACACCTGTTATAAAACAACTCTTCCAGGTCCTAGTGAAGTACAGACAAATAAAACGAAATTTTGAACTTGGCCAAAAGAGGGGCTGTAATGTATAATTGTGAGTAAGGACTTCTTATGCTTCATATTTTATAGAAAATATTTTATTGTTCTTATTTATAAGTTTTGTATGATTAATGCTCGTTCTTCTTGTAAAAACCTGTGGATAATCTGATGAATTGGTTCCCCTAAATTCTGCACTTGTTTCTCCAGAGTTGCTCTAAAATCTTCCTTTACGCCTTTATTTAAACCGCGTGTTACTGTTCTTTGTCTGATAAAAAAAGATAGAGTTATTTAAGCCACGTGTCACTGTTCTTTGTCTGGTAAAAATAAAGATATAGAGAGAGGTTATGAAATTAAAAGAGTAAAATTCAGTGGTTAAATTATTTCAACAGTTAGGATTCTGTGAGGGCCCTCCTTTATTCCTTTTATTCAATCCACGTGTTACTGCTCTTTGTCTGATAAAAAATAAGATAGGGAGAGGTTATGAAATTAAAAGATTAAAATTAAGTGGTTAGAGTATTTCTACAGTTAGGATTCTGCGAGGGCCCTATGATCCTGTAGCTAATTCAATATACATAAGCAAGCCTGGATGGACAGGATGCGTTAAAATTAGAGGGGATGAGAGATATACTAATTAGCAATACAGGTGGAGGAATGGAGCAGCTAGCAATACGGGTGAAGGAAAAGGACAGCTATTAATACAGGTGAAGGTATAGGACAGCTAACAATACAGGTGGAGGAATAGGGCAGCTAGCAATACGTGTGGATGAATAGGGCAGCTAGCAATACAGGTGTAGGAATTGGGCAGCTATTTCTAGTTGTGATAATGATAAAGGCAGTTATGTGGGTTTTAACGTCCACTCGACACAAACTAAGTCATCTCGAGACTAAGATATGGTTCCATTATATTTCAATAATTCGCTTCCCAGGGGTGTTTAGCAATGAGAGAACACCGGAGGACCCGGGGAAAACCCAAGAGGTTGGCAATGCGAACCTACGTACAAGTGGGGAATCGAGACAACGCCACAGACGTTATTATGATCTGAAACGCATGAATCAGATCATTCCACCACCCTCCCCCACCCCACCGGATTCCATATAAGGACTAGCACAGCTGAACCCGGAAGTAATATAACTACGCCACGGGAGGTGGTAGTACACTATCACTAGGCCTATGTCACTCCCCCGTACGAGCTATTCTTACACCCCAAAGTTCAGCCCACTGGTGGAGCCACCAGCCCACTGGTGGAGCCACCAGCCCAAACTGAGAGAGAGGATTGGGCTTTATCGACCACTTGACACAAACTAGGTCATTTAGGGACTAACACATGGTTAATTTTATTTCCATAATTCGCTTGCGCGTAGGGGTCTTTACCAGTGGGAGGAAACCGCAGACAGGCGAACATACTCCTTGTCATGTACAACCAGGGAATCGAAACCCTGCCAGTTGACTCAATGACAGACCTTATGATACAGCGCCCATGTGCTAACCATTCGGACACCCAACCCCGCTAAACCCAAACAGACAAAGGACACAGATATAGCTGATACTAACTGTGATATGACTTTAGTGCTGATTGACATAATATCTAGATTAACTCGACCTCCATCTGCTGTATCTAATAATGCAAACTCTTCTAATATATCGATACCTTATACTTAGTTAAAGATAAATACAGAAATATATAAATAAATATATACATACTTAGTTAAACATACATTATGGAAGATAGATAACGAGCTGATAGTTCTCACTATAATAGTTAAAAACTAGATAATGTACAGGGAATTTGCTGAAAATGTCAGTCAAATTGATCCAATCTGAACCGAGAATTTAGTGATTAAATTTTAGGAAAAGCCTCAATCATCATTACGATAAAAAACAGTCTCGATTTCGCAGAGAACGTTCAAATGTTGCAATCTGCAATGATAACACCAAATTGAAAACATTATGTCAAAAAAATATATGTTAAAAACCAACAGTTGACGGATGGATGGATGGAGAGCGGTGATGACTATATGCGATGTGCCCAAATTACGTTTGTAGGTATAAAAATTCACTGGTAAGATCTCTAACCAATCAATTTTACTGTTAGTCAGTCATGTCCGGCAGATATTACTGAAACCAGAGGCCTAAGCAACACTCTACTCCGTCCAAATAAAGTTGACCTTGAAATATAATAAAGGATACAGAATATATAATGAAAGAAGAGGTTGTAAGTAAATGTTCCCTGGGAGCGAATCTTTTTGATGATGTCATTAAACAGCTGATCTTGTCTTGGCCAATCAAACTGCAGTAAAACCAATAAATGGCCCAGTAACATATCACCCCCTAATGATGAAAATGCCTTCTCCTGTAAAATATAAATAATTCATATATAGTCATCGGTAATAGTATTATCCAAAAACAACATATCAATTACATTACAGGTACCAGAGGCTTGGGTGCTTTAAACAAGCCATAAGGAGCTGAATACGGTATGGTAATGGTGCTACCTACCTTTAAACAAGCTATAAGGAGCTGAATACGGTATGGTAATGGTGCCACCTACCTTTAAACAAGCTATAAGGAGCTGAATACAGTATGGTAGTATTTCCTGGTCTGTACACTGTAACAATAATAACTGACGACCTTCACCCCCTAATATCATACTGTCCTTCACCTCTATGGGTTCATCACCACCAACTCTGTCTAATAGGTCCACAGTATCCATGACAACATCACATGCTTTCTGTTAAGACAAATAAAGATATTTGGTTAAAGCTTGTCATGCAAGGTAAAGAAAAGCTCACCAGCAACATAATAAGCTTTTTAACCTCATATGTGTTTTTGGTCTTTAGTTTTAAAGTTTGTCAGGCAAGGTATAAAAAGCCAACACCAGCTCTGTGGCCTGTAACGCAGTAAGTTTCCTTATAACCTTCTGTGTTTTGGTCTGAGTTTTACTAAGATGTTCTGAACTAGACCTTAACCTGGCTACTGTTTCACCTAGCTACACTTTAACCAGGCTACAGTTTAACCTGGCTAGACATTAACCTGGCTATAGTTTAACATGGCTAGACTTTAACCAGGCTACAGTTTAACCTGACTGGAGTTTAACCTGCCTACAGTTTAACCTGCCTACAGTTTAACATGGCAAGACCTTAATTAACCTGGCTAGACTGTCACTTAAACGAAAAATAAACCTTGTAATTTATCTTACATGATAACCGCTTTGTTTTATTTAGATTTACAGATATCAGATGAGATTCAAATGTTGAAGAATGGTGTATATTTATTTACTTACAGAGAAGTTGCGTAGACAGTAAAAAGCACAGGCTAACTGTAGAGACATGCGTAACTGAAAGAAAAAACAATAGTTCATATATTATGTTTTATATTCATAGTGTTCATTGGAAGAGAAACAAGGTGTAGTGAGCTACATCTGTAAAAATACAACTGTATTTTAGATCTTCACTCAAGAAAAGGGGTTTTAGTACTACTTTTCTCCCCCGACTTGGTTAATGAAGATATGCTTCACTCAAGAAAATAAAATAAAATGAATTGAAATGGGGCATTCTGATTAAAATACAGATCTATATTTCATCTACTACATGAAGATTTGACCGGTTGTAGTAGAAGGTCGCATCAGAGGTCATACGAGCAGCTTTTGACCCTGTGACATCAGACTTTTGAATAGCCAAGCAGATTTGATGTTTCTAGTGGGTTATCCACAATTCTGTGCAGCTCACGCCAAACCTCGCCGTAAAAGACCATTTCATTGGCTAATCCCTCACATCAACCATAACGCTGGTTTTATAACAACTATTTTAGATCTTAGTGTGGTAAAGACGTGTAAATCGAAATTGGAACTATAAAAAACGAAACGAAATAGGATCTGTGTTTTAATCAGATTGGAAATGGGGTGTACCCGCCTACTTTTCTATGGCAACCCAGCTAATAAAGACATGCACACCATGCAGTGTGCTACCAGAGAAATTTTGCCTAGGCATCAGCATTTCTGCCTACACTTAAATGGAATTCCAAAAGTCAAGGGGTCATCTACGTTTTGTCTATAAAAAAACAACCAACAACAACAAAGTCATCCCTTCCTAAGTAGGCACAAAGAACCTTTGACATAAAAAGTCGACAGCCGTATACATTAGGACTTCCACTTCAATATTTTGAATCTGGGCCACTTTGTAAATTAA